TAGGAGGCAAGTTAAATAATATGTGCCAAATCACTCCTTGGATTTGATACCTGTTAATTTAACTTGTCTCCTCCCTTGGGTGGTTGGGCTCCTGATAGCTTGGGTGCTATTGGGGTGTGGAAACAAACCATACCCTATCTACCCCTTCTGGATAGGTAGGGAATGGATTGGATCCAGGGCTGGAGGGTGCTTTTACCCTTTCTTCTTTTCCTTTCTTTCCTTCCCCCCCTTTTTCCCTTCTTCCTTCTTCTTGTCTCTCCCTCCTTCTTGGTCTTCCTCTTCTTCTCTCCCTTCTTCTGAGTCTGGAAACACACTAAGCTTCACTCATTTAAACCCTCTTTGTTTGGGTGTTTGAAGGTTGGTGTGTCTTCCCTTTGGTGCTGGTTGGGTGGGTGGGGCCCCACTGGTTTTGTGAACTGGTGGGGTTGTGAGGAAACAATTCAACCTCGATTAACCCCTTCTGGGTAGGTAGAGGTTGATTTGGGTCCTGGCTTGTTGGTGTCCAACACTTCTCCTTTTCCTTGTACATCCCTCTTCCCCTTCTTCTTTCTCTTGCTTCTCCCTCATCCTTTGTTTCTCTCTCTCTTCCTTATCCTCCTTCTTCTGTCTCTGGGAACACACCTGGATGCACTCACTTATACCCCTCTTTTGGTTGAGTATTTGCAAACTGGTGTGCACCCCCTACCTTTATGGTTTCTGCTTGGATTCATCTTGGATGCTGTGTGGATGGCATGGATAATCTTTCTGGCTTTGTTTTGTGAATTCTCTCATCAGGGTAGAGCACCATCACCTTATGCCTGAGTACTCCATCCTAGCTCATTTGTGTGAGACAGGTTTTGACTTGGTATTATTTGGTGCAAATGGTCCATTGGTGCTCCTAAACTCCTGATGGATTTGGTCCTGCTGTTACTGTACTTTGAGCCTTCAACCAGAGTTGGAGTACCTGCTGATCTCACCCTACTTCACTTGAGTGAAACAGATCTCAGCCTTGGATACTTCAATGGCCCCCTTCTCAGTCTACTACCAAGATAGCTGTACTTGGATCTGTGATGCTGTGTGCTTTGTTTTATGCTTGCATTGTTTAGGGCCTGATGCTTTTCCTTACTGGAAGCTGTGAACTCGCCCAGGCTTTGCAAGCAGAATGGACATGGATCTGTGATGCTGTGTTGCTGTGTGTATTGATCTTATGCCTGCACTGTGATTAGGGCCTGATGCTTCATGTCTAAATGCTGGAAGTTATGAACTCGCCCAGGTTTTTTTTGCAAATGGAATGGAATGAACTTTGCCTTGTCAGTGCACCTATTATTGCTGGTGTACACTTGTCTCAGATTTTATTTGATGTAACAGAGTTGTTTGTCTTGTGTTAAGACAACATCCTATTCTTGGTTTTTGGTTAGATTGCATTTCCTTGTGTTAGTGCTTTGGCTTTGTTGTTTACAATTGAGTTGTAATTTCTTTTGTAGATAGTTGTAACTTAAGCAAGTAACCACGTTGTGGTTAAGCTGTTGACACTTTGTATTTGTATTCGTTTGATTTGGGTAATAATAATTTACATGTTACCCGTAGAAGATCATCTGCAAAAGCTAGGTGGGTAATGGGCATGTAGTGTCTTCCTAGTTTGTAGCTTGAAAGTTCTCCATGTTCAATTTTGGATTGAGGGTTCTGCTGAAAGTTTCTGCTGCCAGGATAAAAAGGAGGGGGACAGGGGGTCACCTTGTTTGAGACCTCTTCTAGGTTGAAATCCTTTGGTGGGATAGCCATTGATCAGAATAGAATGTGTAGTGGCTTGTAGATTGTTGAGGATAAGATTGTTAAGCTTATTGCAGAACCCAAAATTTCCTTAGGACCAGTTCAAGGAATTCCCCGGAGACTTGTCAAAGGCCTTGGACATGTCTAGTTTGATAGCTAGATTTCCTCCTCTAGTTTTGAAATTAATCCCATGGATGAGTTCTTGGGTAATCAGGATCTGGTCATGGATTTGTCTTCCTTTAATAAAACCACCTTGTTCCGGTGATATTATGTTAGGAAGGATGCTGCACAATCTCATTGCTAAAATCTTAGAAAAAATTTTGGCTATGAAGTTTGAGAGGCAGATTGGCCTGAATTCCTCAAAAGTGGATGGGTTTTCAACTTTGGGAATTAGGATGATGTTAGTTTTTCCCAAAATCTTGGGAATGGGGATTTCCAAGAAGAATTCGTGAGCAGCCTTAGTAACATCCTCTTTAATAATATCCTAGCATTTTCTGTAAAAATCTCCAGTAAAGCCATCAGGACCTGCAGCACTATCAGGATCCAAATTCCAGATTGCTTCCTTGACTTCATCTTCAGAGGGAAGTCTAGTGAGCATGTGATTGTCAGTCTCATTGATGAGGGTTGGGATGTTAGGGAGAAATAGGTCATGACATGTACTGTTTTTCCAAGAGAAGAGATGTTGGAAATAATCAGTAGCCTCCTGTTGGATTTCATTAAGATCAGAAGTCCAATTGCCACTGCTATTTTTGATCCTTTGGATTTTTTGATGGTTTCTTTTCTCCTTTAAGATGGCATGAAAATAGGCTGAGTTACAGTCCCCCTCTTTGAGCCATTTGATTCTAGCCTTTTGTTTCCAATAGTTGAATTCATTTTTTGTTGCTTGATTGAGGTGTGCCCTTGTTTCAATCATCAGAATTCTGTTCTCCATAGTAGGCAGTGTATCATAGTTCTGTTCTGCCTCTTGAAGTTTTTGTTCAAATTCCACCACTTTAGAAGTGATGTTACCAAAGCGGTTCTTGTTCCAATAGATTAAAATAGAAGATAGATTGACCAATTTGTTCATTAGTCCTTTCATCCCCCCCCCCCCCTTTGTAGGAATCCCAATTTTCTTCAATGAGAGTCTTGAAGGAGTGGTGATTGGCCCAGCAATTTAGTATCTGAAAGGTTTGGGTCAAGTGAATATGGGGTTTTGGATAGAGATGAGGATAGGATAGTGATCTGATTTTCTTCTTGAGAGATGCTGGGATGATATAGAGTCAAAGTTTTTTTGGCAAATTGGATTGATGAAGACTCTGTCCAGTCTCTTCCATAATCTCCCCAAGGTTCTAGTTCCTATCCAGGTGAAGCTGTTGCCAGTGAAAGGGGGGGATATTAAGCCATTGTTCATGATACAGCTGTCAAAATCTTGAATACTGTTGAGGCAGGGTATGCTCTTACCCTTGTGGTGCTTAAGGGAAGAGATATTGAAGTCTCCCCCAAGAATCCAGTCATCTGGGTTGTTGCAGTGGCTGATTGCCTCCCATAGTTGTTTCCTCTCCTCTCTTGTGTGTTTTCCATAGATCCCTGAGAGTAGGAAATTTTTGTTGGTTTGTTTGCTATGGAAGAGAACATTAAGCATTTGTCCCATGTCTGTGTGCTTCTTGTAGGTCAGATGTTGATTGTGCCACATGATCCAAATTCTATTGCTGGAGCTAGAAATGGAGTTGGAGAATCCAAGTTCTAGCTGAAATTTGGACAGTTTATCTGGGGAGGCTTTGGGTTCAATGATGGTGAGGATGACGATTTTGTGTTTAGTGACCAGTAGGGATAGCCTTTCTTTGTTAGAAACTATCCCACAGAGATTCCAAAAGAGGCAATTCATTGATGACTGGTTTGGGAAGAACTTTTTGATGAAGATTTCTCTAGAAGCCTTTTTGATTTCCTTGTAACAGTGGTGAAGCCTTCAGTGGTTTGTCTGCTTTGTGGTTCTTCTTGAGGGTGAATGGGGGGATCTGTGTGTTGATGTTGTTCCTGGGTAGTGTCTGTGTCACTCAGGTAATTAACTGTGTATTTGGGATGAGGGTCCTGAATGTGGGAGTCATCTTTGGATCCACTTAGTTTATTTTTCATTGATGTATTGCATATGTTGTTGATGTCCTTCATTAATGCTTCAAGGATTTCTCTGTCTGAGGGTGGGGGAGGTGTGTTAAGAGGGCTAGTGGGGGTTTTGGGTTGTGAGGGAGATGTGTTAAGAGGATCAGTGGTGGGTGGGCTGCCTGGTGGGTTGGTGCTGATTGGGAAGTTAGGTGGCTCGGGTAGGGGAGAGTGAGGGTTTTGGTTGATGACCAGCTCAGTTGCAGTGGGTTCTGGTAATTTGTTGTTTTGTTGTTGGGGTTATTGTGTGTTGGGGGCTGGTTATCTTGTTCTGGGGATGGTATTAAAGGGGTGGCTGTTGTTGGTGGGGTAAGGGGGTGTTGGATTTTACTTGTTGAAGGTATATCCTTAGTCTGACAGACTGTGGGAGTGTCAGTGGGGTTTTGAGTAGTCTTTGGGTGTTGCTGTGGGGTTTGGGTGTTTTTGGGAGCTTTCTTCTGGAAGATAGTGACTGTATTGTGCTTATGAGGTTTGGGAATATTCCGGCCAGTATTCTGGCCTTCCGGCAAGGGGTTTGATGGTATGGTTTGTTTATTTTTCTTCTCCACTGTGTCTGGAGATTCCTTTGCATGTGTGGCAGAAGGAAGGGAGGTCTTCATAGATGGCTTCTAGGGAGAGCTGTTGGTTACCATTTTGGATGAAAAATTTTGAGATCTGTGGTTGAGAGATATCAACTTCAACACAAATTCTGGCCAGAGATGGTCTCCCAAAGCTCTCAGTAGTGGTGTCAAGCTTAATAGGGTTCCCAAAAATGTGACCAATTCTGTGCAAGGAGTCAGGTGAGTGAAGGTGTATGGGAAGGTTTTTGATGCCAATCCAGATTGGCATGATGAGTGACTCAACTTTGGGATCAAAGGTTGGAGTCCATTTTAAAAGATCCTAGATTCCATTCCCTTCTTTTAAAACATCTATGGTATTCACCTTGTGAGGAGAAATTGATAAGAACATGGGTAGGATCAATTAGAGTGACAGAGAAGGTTGTAAATCCAATTCTCTCCAAGTTCTGTCTAATAAATTCCAGGCTTGCTCCCAAAGAAGAAGGAACCTACTAAGGCCTTAGAGAATCTAGAGGCCAGTAGGGTGACTTCTTCCTCTGAAAAGGAGACGCAAGGGAGACCTTTAAGCCGTTCAACTGGTTTGATAAGAAAGGGGGATTGTTACCTGTTGTGTTGAAGTGACAATTGCTGCAGCATAACTTTTCCTTTGGTGTGGGTTGTTGTTCCTTTCTGAAAAGGTGTTATTGAAGGTGGAAGTTGTATTGCTGGTGGTCTGAGCTGCTGGAGATGGAACATTTTTGGAGGGAAGATGCTTGGAGGGTTCTGCTGGGGGGTGCTGCTGTTGAAAAGGGGTGGTTGATGGTGATGCAGTAGTTGGAAGGTTGCCGGAAGAACCACCTGAGGAGGTCGCCGGCATTGCTAGAGGGAGCTCCACCGCTAGAGAGAGAATTTATATATATATATATATATATATATATATATATATATATATATATATATATATATATATATAGATGAATGGTTGCGCATCTAGAGAGAAGGAGGAGCGGAGATAATGGATTCCGACGAGCAGATCAACACCAGCAGCCATATGTACACCCTAAATTCAACCGTGTCCTTCCCAATAAGGAAAAATCTGAGTTTTTTTACTCACGATATCCCTGGAGATCCTCCAGAAACCAGGCGCTCCGACAAAGGGAAATCCTCCCTCATAGAAGACGTTGGCCTTTCCGCGACCCAGATTCTAAGATTCAGGAAGATTCTTACATCTTCAGCGGCTCTAGATTAGTCTTCAACAGCGAAGCAACCCACTTTGAGTTTAAAGGTAGTCGCAACCTTAGATTCAAATTCCATACGCAAACCAAGGTATTCGAATTCTTCCACTCATTCTACAATCATAATATTTGTATCTCTGAATATGGATTTAGACGATATCATTTGTGGTTTGATATGGATACCATCAATTGGATTTTGGATTCATTGTCTCTGATTTCCAAAAGGAGATGCTGGGTGACCTCTTTGCAAGATTCTAATAGAAGAATTGAGGTAAGACAGGGCTTTAATAGGAGAGGAAACTATATCCAAATCATAGAGAGAAGAAGCAGAGAGGGTATGAGGTTTTTACTGGTCCCCTTTGATTCGGGGAAGGATGGACCAATTCTTTTCATTCGGGCACTCTCCTCTTTCATTCAAAGAGCTTCCAAATCCGAAACTAACCCGGTGCAAGATATGGACCAATCGCTCTCCCCAACCCCCGACATGGAACTTGCCACATCCCTACCTTCTCAAATGTATGGAACAGAGGAGGATGATATCAATACATCATCTTTTAAAGGGAATGGAGGGTCAGAGTTGATTCCTACTCCTTTACCAGAATCTATACAAACTGAGAGACATATGGTTATCTATGAAGGAACAGAACCTAAATTCAACATTTCCAAAACCTACACAGATCTGTTTACACATCTTTCAAGAAAGATGTTGTCCCCTTATGCTCCTTTGTTCGTTCCACTTTCATATAACCCTTTTGCTGCTCTCGACAACCAGGATCATGAACAGGACAAACTTGCTGCCTGCTTGGAGGATGAAGACCTTTTCTCAAAGCTAAATGAACAAAGCATGGTTCTTAGCCTTAATGCAGTGGAGGATCACACAAAGGAAAGGGACGGCCTCATTCTTTATACCCATTCAGAGGGGGAAGACATAGTGTTCATTGACTCAATACGCAAACCTCTTCAAATTGACCTCTCAAGATGCTCCAAACATCCTCTCTACCTGCGAAAGGAACTTAAGGGCAGAAAGATTTACTCCCCATCACAAATAGTTACAAGAAGTAAGGCTAAATTGCTTGAAATAGGGAGGAGGATCACTCCTATTGGCTGGGAGGAGGAAGAAGATCTTATTGATCCACAGGAGTCCCATGAAGAGGAGGTAATTAATGCTTTTAAGCTATGTTGTCCTAATAAAAAAGAAGAACCTAAACCTCCTAAAAAACCAATAAGCAAAAGTCAAAAAAAGAAATTGAAGAAGAAAAAGAAAATAAGCAAAGTAACTCATATGGAATACGAGGATGAGGACTTTTACGAATTAGGCTGTTAGTTCTACCAGAAACTTCATCTCAATTTCTTTTTCGTTTAGTTGGTTCTCTTTGAATACTTGGATAGAAAGGAAGGTTTTCCTATGTCGCAGATCAGGATGGGTTGGGCTGGTGATCTCCCAACAAATTAGACTTCTTTGAATTAGAATTCTAGTCTTTGAAGTTTGGACTGAAATTTGGAAGTATCAAAGTACTTCTGGTGGCTTCTGATTTTCTCTTGAATGGAACTTCAGGCAGTTGCTTAGGAACTCTAGGCAATTCGTGTTTTTGTGGTTACGTTCCTTATGAAAGAGGTATATTGGCTGGTAATATTTTGCTAGGGAATTACTGTAACTATGAGGGTTTTGAGACTTTAGGAGCCTTTGAATATCCCACTTTGGCCTAGCACACTGCAGAACTGGAAATACATAAGTTGGAGGCTTCGGAGTTTTTGTTGCTTTGGTTTGTCTGCTTTGGGAATTCTTGATTCGGATAGAATGCACTTTGCTATTGAGAGGGGGCCTGAGGAAATATCTCAGAATGGGAGCCACGGTTATTCTGGATTGGAAAGCTTTTGAGAGTTGGCGGTTTGTAGTATTATTGTCCTTGATTTAGACACTGCTCTCTTGCTGTCATCTTCTTTTTCTTTTTCATTTCCTTGTATTTTGGTGTTTATTTCTTTTTTCTTGGGCTGGATTGTGGAGTTGGCCACCTCCTCTTTGTACTTTTCCTTTTGTTTTGAATGAACTTCCTTAAAAAAAAATATACTCCCTCCGTCCCATATCTTTCTTCTCACTTTCCTTTTTTAGCCGTCCCACTTGAATCTTCTTGTTTCATAAAATATATTTAAACTTACCATTTTACCCCTCCTTTTTTCTCTCTCCCACCCTTTTCCCTTCCGTTGTCAGGCCCCCACCCAATTTTTCTCTCTCCTTATTCTCATTCCTCTTCTTCCCAAACTTCTTTTATGCATCAGATCTCTTTCCACCTCTCTTCTTTCTTTTTCTCCCCGACCACCCTACCCCTTCCAAGTAATAAATCTCTCTATGCCTCCACCACCATCCCTCTTCTCTCCAAATTTCATAACCATGTCTCCACCACCATCGCTTGTCGGCTACTGCACGCTCGAAGAACATGACTTCAACAATGATTTGTTTCCTCTTTGACGGAAAGAGGTTGTGGGCTGACGATTCGCCAGACAAGACGGCAGGAGACGAACAATGACGGCAATGGGAGACAAAAAGGGCGATGATGGTGGGAGGCAAAGAGAGCGGCGTCCATTAAAGAAAAATCCCAGATTTCTTTTTTTGTTTATTCACTAGCTCCTTGCATTCTTCTATGAAACAATTTTAAATTTAATTTTCTTGCGTGATATGATTCAATTTGATTTTGTTTTAATTTTTTAATTAATTTGGAGTAAAATTTGATTGCCATTTTGAACTTCTTAAGAGGAAGAAGAGTGGAGTTAGATTGAAAAAGATGAAAACATAGGCAGGTGAGCTTGATGCGAGAAAGAAGGACAAAAGTGGAAAGTTGATACATTTTTTACTTTACATTTAAACTCGTGCCAAGTCAAAACGGGAAGTTTCAACTGGGACGGAGGAAGTATATATATATATATATATATATATATATATATATATATATATATATATATATATATACTCCCTCCGTCCCCCAGTTTTTGTCCATTTTTAACTTTTGGAGCTGTTCATCTTAGCACTTTGACTCATCAAATTCTCACAATGTGTAAGCTTAAATATAGTCATCTGTGATCTTGTTTGATTTGTCTTAACATATAGATTATTAATATATAATTTCTATAATTTTTTAATATATAAATTACAAGATAAAATGGATTAAAGAAGTGCATTGAATGGTATGTAAAAATGAAAGTGGACAAAAACTGGGGGATGGAGGGAGTACTTATTAGTATTAACTATAAAAATTGTTATAAATAAGGAAATAAAATTCGGATATAAAATAGTACTCGGTACATTATTGTATATAAAAAATAATAATGATTACTATTATATAAAAAGTGTTTTTTATAAGAAGAAGAAGAAGAAGAAGAAGAAGAAGAAGGAGAAGGAGAAGGAGAAGGA